CCAGATCAGTGGCAATACAGCAACAGTGTGAACGGAAAAGTAACTGCTCTGGACTACACCCACAGAATGAATGTTCTGCATCTAGATAATCTCTAACGAACTTTTGAGTTTCTGAATTCAACTTTTCCACCTTAAAAACAATGACACTTAAATAAGAGACTAATGGAATTATGATTCCTCATGAAGGACTACACCGTTATAGTAAAATGGGGAAAACCTTTTGGGGGTGGGAGTTTTGGAGGGAATCCCAGCCTATACAAATGGTGTACCACATAATCCAAAAATTCAAATATATATATATATATTAGACAGTGACACTGAGACAGTGCTGTGGCATTGCAAGTCAATCACTGCCTGACAAGCCTGCATCTCATGTGGGAACCAGTTCTAGGTTGTCCGTACCATTTCCAACCCAGCTTCCAGTTAAGTGCCTGAGAAAAACAGCTGAAGGTGGCAAAAGTACTTGGGTCACTGCCATCCACATGGGAAACTAGAAAGAAGATCCTGGCTCCTGGCTTCAGCATGGCCCAGCCCTGGTCATCACAGCCAAATGGCAAGCGAACCAGCAGATGAAAGATCTCTCTCCCTCTCTCTAACTCTGACTTTCAAATGAATAAATTAATTAAAACGCTGTGCTTCGTGTAAGTCTTCGATTTCTCTCAATATAAACAACGTCTACAAAACAAACCCATAGTGGACGACATAACAGTAACACACCGCACGCATCCTCTGCTGAGATGACAACCGGGGCAGGGTGTCTGCTCTCCCTTGAACTGGAGATCATCACTAGCACAAGCAGAGGAGAAAAAGGGCAGAGGTGGGAAAACAGGAAGTATGTCTGTCTCTATCGGCACAAAGTGTGACTCGGTCCACACAGAAAACGCTAATGGGGCCTGGAGCGATACCCTAGCGGTTAAAGTCCTTGCCTTGCATGTACCGGGATCCCACACGATCCCATATAGACACTGGTTCTAATCCTAGCAGTCCCGCTTCCCATTCAACTCCCTGCTTGTTGTCTGAGAAAGCAGTTGAGGACAGCCTAAAGCCTTGGGACCCTGCACCCGTGTGGGAGGCACGGATGAAACTCCAGGTTCCTGGCTTCACATTGGTTCAGCTCTGGCCATTGTGGCCAGTAGATGCAGAATCTTCCTCTCTGTATATTTGTCTTTCCAATAAAAATAAATAAATCTGAAGGAAAAAGAGAAAAAGAAAATGCCAATGAATCTATAACTATTAGTTTAAGATGCCATTTATATATAAATATATAGAGACAGACAGATAGATGCCCTGGGAAGCAGCAGGGGATGGCTCAAGCACTTGGTCCTGTCATCCACGTGGAAGATTAAGACCGGGTTCCCACTTTCTGATAGAAAACAACCCCAGCCACATTTGAAGTATATATACACACTGATTTATTTCTGTAAATAATTCAAAATTGCTCAAATAAATAATGCAAGCACAATATTATAATATATAATATGGATACATACACTACATGTATAAAATAATATATCATACAGTTTATTTATGTAAACTATTAAAAATGGAGACTTTTAGGTTGCCATTTATAATAGCATCAAAAACATGAAGCAACTAGCAAGTTCAAAATTGTTATTAAAACTTCAATACATTGAGAGAAATCAGACTTAAACAAAGAACAGCATTTTAGTTTCTTAATGAATTACAAAAGAGATAAACAGATCAATCATCCCAAACGAATCGATAATTGCAAAGCAGTATTAACGAAAAGCCTACAGAGCTGTCTCAATAGAAATCAATACAATGATTGTCAAACCCGCATGGAAAGGGCAGGAGCCAAACCACCTCAAAACGATTGGAGGAATAACAAAAGTGGGACTCAGGCTTCGCAGGACTCCAGTTCCTCATTTCAAGGCACCCTAGACCCTATGTTAACAAAGACAGGCATGCCCCTTTGGCCCCAGAAACACACCCAGAGCAAGGAACACGGGAGTCCAGAAAGAAAGCCACATGTGCACTGTCAACTGCTTGACCAAAGAGTTAAAAAAAAAAAAAAGAAACATGGTGAAGGAAGCACAGTAAGTCCTTTCATCAGGTGAGGCAGGAAGCTGGCGTCCATCAGGAGGAAGCAGGGCACTGCGGGAAGGAGCGCTGAGCCACTCCTCACACCCTACACAAAGGCCAACTCCCAGGGAGCCCAGCCCTGCAGGGAGAATCGCTACCACTACACAAGTTTTAGGAGAAAAGAGCATCTCTACAATGTTAGTCAGAATGTCTTGAGATGCAAGCATTAAGTTATCAGCGAAGAAAAAAAATCTGATAAACTGGATTTCTTCAGAATTAAAACCTTCTGCTTTAGAATGATGTTGCTAAGAAACTTGAAAGACAAACTCCAAGAAAATATCTGTGAATACATACCACATCCAAGATTTGTATCTAGGCTGTACAAAACTCTTAAAACTCTATATTTAAAAAAAAAAAAAACAATAAAATGGACAAAAGATGTGAATAGGCATTCAACTAAAAAAGATTCACAGATGTCATATAATTCCCAACTAGTCAATAGAAAAATTCGAACTGAAACATCAATAACTTCTCTCTAAATATCTAATAGAGCAGCTAACATTATAAATAAAACTGCAGGTACTGGGTCACGGGAGTCACCAAGCACCATGAATGGGAATGCAAAATGAACCAGTTGTCTTGGAAAAGATTTTTGTTCTTACAACAGTCAACACGCACTTGCCACATGTCCAAACAATTCTACTTGCAGGTTGTTCAACGGAAAGAAATGAAAACCCGAGCAGCCCTGCCCAAAGCCCTCTGCACAGACACACACCAAGAACTACATATCATCCCCACGCGCCAACGCTGAAAACCATCTCAAGGCCCAGAGATGAGCAAACAGATAAAAACACGACCACGTACTCATATAATAAAACACTACACGGCAATCAAACTGACGACACTCTGGCACAGACACCCACAAGAACGAATCACAAAGCATGAAGCGCAAGCAGAAGGCCACATCCGATCTGGTTCCTATCACAAGATGTTCCAGAAGAGTTGAAGTTAAGAGACACACGCCAGTTGTCAGGATCCGAGGGGAAGCGAGGGACAGGGAGAACTTGCTAGAAGGATGGTTACCTATCCTTGTCTACGCTGTGGTGGTGGTGGTTACATGATCATGCTCACATGTCGGAGTTCACAGGACTGTAATACATTAACAATTTTTTATCTGTCGCAAGCTATAACTCAGTCAGCCTAGAGTTTAAAAGCAGCAACCTATGGGCTTTGGAACTATGCAAATCCTCACTGGGTATGGCAATGAGGGAGGAGTAATGGGAAGACCAGAAATTTAAAAAAACAAAACTATAAACCTAAAAAAAGGATCACTAGGAAATGGGAGGAAACACACACGGATACAAAGTTGTTTCTATGAGAGCTGTCATGTCTGGATAGCAAAGTAAGAATGAGCTTTAAGGGAAAGACAGACAATCATGCATAGCACACTGGAAGGGCAGCACTGTGAGACAGCCCTGAACCACACACCCGCTCCCAGTTTCAACAACAAGGAAGCCACTCATCCAACCCACTCTTTGTCATTCTAGCTTCTGTTACGGAGAGAAAGAGAGCAAAGCTTCCTCTATTTATAAATAATTCCTACAGCTTACAGATCTTACGTCTATAGCAAAGATGCAACATGAAACATGCCTTGGTAGGCAAATTCTCTTTAGCGCTTGTCCGTTTCAGCTCCAGGCAAGCGCTAACCATCTTTCTTTTTATTGCTACCATTTACAAAGGGGGAGCGGGGGAAGGTCCCTATATGATGACTCTGCACTACATACTTCGAGGATGAAGATGAGCCAGTGGCTCCAATAAGAAATATATTTTTTTCCACTCAATAAAACTTAAGAGGTAAGTTATAACTTTCAGCATTCTGTTTTCTTTATGTTTATTCCATGTGGCTTATACCGTTACTAGGAAACCAGTCCATAATAAGATTTCCCAGCCCACAGAAAAATCTCCTAGCCAGCCTACGGGATCCCAAACTTTGTAACCAGGGCAACTGATGGATTCGCTGGCACCACGCAGGTGCACCTTACCTGGCCTGCCCTATGTCCCTCTTCCCTCGGGGGCGGGGGGTGGGGGGGAACAGTATAACCAACCCAACCAACTCTGTTAGCACAAAAGCATGTCAGCACAGCAAGAGCTGAGCGTCAATACGACAATCTGATACCCACCCAACTAAATACTTCGGTGGAGGGACGGAGATGAAGGACTTAAATTCGGGTGAAAGTTGCATGCTACTGCAACCCTCTGCCTGGAGGGGAAGGTGGGTGACCGTGCACAGAGGAGAGCTAGGATCTGTGAGAGGCCGCTGAGTCACCTCCTGCTGTTGGGAAGCCTTTACCCTCCAGGAAACCCTAAGGAAGTGAGGGACCACAGCAACCCCCAGCAGCATTCTAATCAAAGGTGAGGGGGGAAAAAAAAAAAAACACTCCTCAAAAAAAAAAAAAAAAAAAAAAAAAAAGGTCTGCAGTCCGGAGCTTCCCCACCCTTGCAGCCGCGCGCGCACGCGCACCCGGAGGAACCCTCTTCATTGTGGGTGAACAGGATGGTGCACTGGTGCGGGTCGAGAACGCCCTCCGCCAAACAAACACCTGGCAGGGTCCCCGGCTCCTGCCGTCACCACCCGAACCGCCCCCTCGCAGGGCGACGCGCGGTCCGGATCGTCACCGTCACCAGGCAAGGTGGTCAGGGACGCGCTCAGCCAAGAAAAGGGAGACAGGAACCCCGGGCGCGTTCCTGGGAGCCGCGGCTTCGGGATCAAAGCCTCTCGGTGCGCGGTGGGCGCGGCGCTGACACCACAGTCACGTGTGCCGCAGCGTGGACTCGAGCCGGCAACGTGCAGGTGCCTCCTCCCTGGCAGGGCGAGCAGCGCGTGGGCGGCCACCCCCCGGCCCAGGGACGCGCCCCGCATGCCCACCCGCAGGCCCGGGAGCCCAGCGTCCGTTTACCTGCTCCCCGCTCGGGCCTCTCGCTCCTGCCTCTGCCGTACGGCTCCCCACCTCGGCAGGTGGGCCCAGCCCCCGGTGCACTCACACCCCAAGGCCGCTGCGAACCCCCGGCCCCTGCGGGCACCCCGAGTGGGGGCAGCCCTCACACCTCCCGGCGTCGGACACCTCTGCCCCCGGAAGTTGATTTCCGCCAAGGCCCGCCCCGCAGCCCTGCGCCCGCCCGTCACTCAGCGCCAACACGCGCGTCACGTGGGCCGAGGCTGCTGGGGTGTTGAAGTGCCCCAACCTTGGTGGCCCCCGGGCTTGCTCGATGGGCATTCAGACAAGGAGCTTATGGTCTAGTGGGGAAGAAAAGTAACCTGAATCTCAGGAGCTGTCACTGTGTGCACTTGAACAAAATTGGTTATGACATACACACGCTGTGTTATGTAGGGGCCACCCGCACGGTGCCCTGACAAGCCTTCCCCAAGTGATGGACGAAGTGGGTAGCGAGCAGATTCAACACTGCATAGGTAACTTTTGCATGACCCACCTCAGCTCCTTCTCAGTACTCACCATCCCCATAGGAAGTGTTCTTCCACATAGCGGTTGACCAGCCTGCTGGACCTCCATGTGGAAAGCAACCAGCCCTGTGTGAACCTTGTTCTCCAACATTCATCACGCTCTTCTACACCCAGAAATCTAGCACAGTGCCTAGTGACTGAAATAAAAAATGATCAATGTCTCCTTTTTGAAGATTTGCTTCCATTTAAAAGGCAGATTTACAGGGAGAAGAGGGAGAAAGAAGTCTTCCATATGCTGATTAACCTCAAATGGATGCAAAGCCCAGACTTGAGCCAATCCGAAGCCAGGAGCTTCTTCTGAGTCTCCCAAGGACCCAGACACCTGGGCCATCCTCCACTACTATCCCTGACCATAACCAAGGAGCTGAATGGGAAGTGGAGCAGCCTGGACACACACCTGTGCCCATATAAGCGCCACAATCAGAGGTCCAGCCTACTATGCCTCAGTATTTCCTGACCTTGATACAATTTCTGTTATATTGTTGTGTCTCTCTTGTGTCTTACTGAGATCTCCAGAAGTTTCTGGAAATTGCCATTGCTATCTCAACAAGCCCCCTCTGTCCCACCTAATTAGGTGTCCGGTATTAAACAGATTTATAATAATGGATTCATTTTTATTGAGCATTTTCTGTGTGCCTGGCATTGGACAATGTGCTTTTAATCCATTCACTAACTCGGCATCACAGTAATCTTATGAAATACATTAATATTCCCACATTTTAGATGATGATGCCAACTTCCGGAGAGTAGCTTGCCCGAGTGACAGAGCAGAGCCTAAACCCACACGTGCCCAGCGGAAGGCTTTCATGTTTAGCTTCTACAGCCTACCACCTCTTTTTCATATCATCCAATTCTCAGTGAACCCAAAACCACTACCTTCATCAAGTCTTTCTGCTATCCCCACATTAATCTGTATATTTTCTGTGTATAATTCACTTCACTGTAGGATATTCTCTCAGCTGCGCTACCATCACCACACTCAGTTTTAGAATATCAAACTGCCATCGGCAGTTATTTCCCATTCCACCCACCCTGCCCCGACTCAACCTTATCCCCAGGCACCCACTAATCAGCATTCAGTCTTTATGCATTGGAATGCTCGTGTACGGGATCCCAGCTGCATATGGTCTTCCTTCATTGGCTTCTTTCACTCAGCATCATGGGTTCAGAGTTCAGTTATCCATTCCTTGGCTGAGTGGCCTCCACTCTTTGGATCATACGAGTAAGCCTTCTGTGGTCACGCACATGAACGTTTTTACATCAATACAAGGTTTCATTTCTCCTGCAGAAATACCCAAGGGCAGAATTGCTAGCTCGTACAGTTCTGTGTTTAACCTTTTCAACAACCGTCAGACTGTTTTCCAAAGTGATTGTACCACGTGGCATTGCTATAATTTCTCACCTGTGCCTTCCTTATCTCATCCAGTACCTTGTCAGCCTCCATTGCTTCTCAGCGTAGTTTATATAGGACATCTTGCATTGTTGGGCACCCGTGCTGTGAGTGTGTGTACAGGCCTAGCATCCTACAAAGTAGGGTGTGACCTCCTGAGATGAAACGCCTGGCAGCTGCCCTCGAGAGGATCAAATCCAGAGATGCAATCAAAACAGATAGGACAGCAATGGCAAGCACTGAAATCAAGTTTATTGCTAAAATGCAGAGGAAGAACTCCTCACCCAACTTGTGTTAAATAGGAAGTACTTCTCATCAAATGTAAAACTCAAGCAGAGAATGCATAGAAACTGACCAGGCCAAGGAGATGAATGTGCTCCAGATGAAATGACATAGATCTGCACAGGTATTTCCTGTGCTATGAACTGTGCAGGTGGCCGTGTTCTGCAGGTAAGCAGAGCAGAAGCAAACAGAGGGGTGTAGGTTACAATAAAAGCTGGGCAATCTGCGCTGAGGAATTGGAATTCTGTCCTGAAGGCAATGGAAAAAAAAATGCTGGTTTACTTAAGCAAGCTTGGGGGAGAATCACTCCAGGAGTTAAGATTGGGGTGGGGCAAAGGCATTTGGAAGACAAGAAATGGCTAGAGTGACGAATTAAGCCAAGGTGATAGCCATGAAATTGGCAAAGAGAATTTTGAAGGCACGTGAGCAGAAAAAAAAAAGGGGGGGGGAGAGGAAACAATGAAAAATATATAGCAGGTTTCTGGTGATATCCAACCAGGTGTGGGATTTAAGAGGAAGACAGTGCACTTTTTGACAGAAGCAATGCAATACTACAAAGGGGGCGTATCTTAGGTCATCCACAATAGCCCAGAGACTGAGTAATGCATGAACAATGTACAGACTGGGAACCTCACAAACAAAGAGCTGACAGAGATGAACTGTGCTCCAGGCCTGACTTCTGCTTCAAAAATCAATCATTCCTTCTGGTTATATTCTCACAAGGCAGAAGAGATGGGGCAGTGAAAAAAAGGGGGGGGGTCTACTTTTTATAAGCAACATGCCATTCTTGAGTTATGCCTTCTCGACCTAACCACCTCCCAAAGGTCCCATTTTCTGTTAGAATCTAGGCTTCAACAAGGAATTTTGGAAAAGCACAGACATTCAGACAAGAGCAAGTGAGTTGTACCGATTTTGATATAACAATAATTGTTGATTTGTTTGTTGTTGCTGTCACCTACATAAATGAGATCTCCTGGGACCATACCAAGGGCTTAACTGGCTAATTCTCCACCTATAAACTCTGGCATCCCAGATGGGTGTTAGTTCATATCCCAGCTGATCCACCTCCCATCCAGCTCCCTGCTTGCAGCCTGGAGGAGCAGCAGAGGATGGTCCAAAACCTTGGGTCCTGCACCTGTGGGAGATCTGGAAGAAGCTCCTGCTTCCTATTTCATATTTGTTCAGCTCCAGGTCATCTGAGGAATGAAATCAGCAGATGGAAGATCTTTCTCTCTGTCTCCCCTTCTCTCTATAAACCTGCCTTTCCAATAGAAATAAGTAACTCTTTTTTTAAAAGGGTGGGGAAGAAAAAAGAAATAAGATTTCCTTCCAATTTTCAATTCATATGGCAAAATGTGTGATATCATATATGAGCCAACAGGCTGTAAGAAGGTATAAAATTCACATTAGGAGGAATAGCAGGGCATATTTTCCAGGTAAATCTACAAAAGAGTTTGAAAAATGTAGAACAGTTTCTTCTGGTTGCTATTGGGGCAGGGGAAGGGCAGGGCTAGTGCGAAAGTTTCCAGTGGTCGCTACTACCCTAATCCTTAATTCACACTCTGAGAATATTCTGCTGGTATTTAATCTGAAAGGCTGCACACCAATTAACGAAACCATTGTAACTTCTTCAGATATCATCACTGCCAATTAACACCTGACATCCTGCTAATTAGCACGATGAAGCATAAAAGTAAGTTTTCCTCTGAAAAGTCAGTGGTTTGTTAATTACCATAATGGATATTATAAACTGAATCCATCATTGGTGTTCACCTACATAGACTGAACAAACTATTTCAGAGAAAGGCCCTACTGTTTCATGGTCAAGTTTATAAGAAGCTAGCAAGTCCTGTAGCCTACCCCCTTAGGGACATGGCCTTTCAAATTTAAAATCTAAGCGTCTAAACTTCCAATGATCCTAGCATGGCAAAATGGAAAAATTTAACGTTCTGTTTAATTAAAGGGAAAGTCGTGCTCATTATGGAAATAACTGGAGACATAATGTCCATTATGGAAGTCAAGGAATAAATTATTGGTGCCTATCCCCTCTCCTGCGCAAGTTCATCTTTGAAATATTTCCAGTGCAAGTACCATCAAGCTTAGATCTTTAAACCAATCTCAAACTGGCAGGACATGAAGGAAAAGAGAAGTTCCAAAATACAAAATGTTGGGCTAGGCAACATCTCCGGTCTTGGTTACTTGCCTATGGGAATAACAAGAAGCAAAGAGACCCCAAACCTGGTGTTTAAAGGGAAATAGATTATTAAATATATCTCAGGCCAAACTTCAGACTATTCTCGAATATTTCCACCCAGCCTCATAAACAAATTAGTTACTAAACTGGTAAAGCCCCCTGAAAAAAATAATAAATCATTCGATAAAGAAGCGTCTTCCCCAATGACTATCTCAGATAAGCTACTGGACGCACAGAGATGAAAACAGCAACTGCCCGGAAGACTCACACTAGGGCCAGCCAGGATTTCTCACTCCCCCGCTTACAGAATAGGAGAGGGACCAAAGACTGCTGTGTGGGGTTTTCATCACCCCATTTCAAATTGAAAGTTTTTATTACAACTATTTCAAACTTTGCTTTTCACTCCAATTTGCTGAGAGTAGGATGTTTGTCACTGGTTACCAGATGATAAGGAAACTCTAGAGAAGTGTATTTTGGAAAGTGTGAAGGGAGACGGAGAAGTGTTAGCAGCAAAAGGAAATTTAGGGCCCAGCGTGGTAGTCTAGTAGCTAAAGTACTTGCCTTGCATGTGCCAAGATCCTATACAGGTGCTGGATTTTATTCCAGCTGCTCCACTTCCTGACCCTTCCCCCACATGGTAGACCTGGAAGAAGTTTCTGGGTCCTGGCTGCAGATCACCTCGGCTCTAGCTGTTACAGCCACCTGGGGTGTGAACCAGTG